GTGGTCCCTCCGGAAGGCAGATAAGGGTGGGGAGGGAAAGATGTCTTTGGTGGTGGGGTTGGATTGCAGATGGCGGAAGTGTCGGAGGATGATGCGTTGGATCCGGAGGTTGGTGGGGTGGTACGTGAGGACGAGGGGGATTCTTTTTTGGTTCTTATTGCGGGGAGGGGGTGTGAGGGATGAGTTGCGGGAAATGTGGGAGACACGGTTGAGGGCGTTCTCGACCACTGAGCCGGGGGGGAAGTTGCGGTCCTTGAAAAACGAGGACATCCGAGATGTATGGGAGTGGAATGCCTCATCCTGGGAGCAGATGCGGTGGAGGTGAAGGAATTGGGAATAGGGGATGGCATTTTTGCAGGAAGGTGGGTGGGAGGAGGTGTATTCTAGGTAGCTGTGGAGTCGGTGGGCTTGAAATGGATATCGGTTTCTAGGTGGTTGCCGGAGATGGAGACAGAGAGGTCCCGGAAGGAGAGAGAGGTTTTAGAGATGGTCCAGGTGAACTTAAGATTGGGGTGGAAGGTGTTGGTGAAGTGGATGAACTGTTTGAGCTCCTCGTGGGAGCACAAGGCAGCGCCGATATAGTCATCAATGTAACGGAGGAACAGGTGGGGCTCAGGGCCGGTGTAGGTACGGAAGAGGGATTGTTCCACGTAACCTACAAAGAGGCAGGCAAAGCTTGGGTCCATGCGGGTACCCATGGCCACCCCCTTTGTCTGTAGGAAGTGGGAGGAATTGAAAGAGAAGTTGTTGAGGGTGAGGACAAGTTCGGCTAAGCGGATGAGGGACCGGTCGGGGCTGCAGGACAGGAAGAAGCGGGGGGCTTTTAGGCCATCTGTATGGGGAATGCAGGTGTATAGGGACTGGATGTCCATGGTAAAGATGAGGTGTTGGGGACCGGGGAATTGGAGGTTCTGGAGCAGGTGGAGGGCGTGGGTGGTGTCACGAACGTAGGTAGGGAGTTCCTGGACCAAGAGGGAGAAAATGGAGTCTAGAAAGGTGGAGATAAGTTCGGTGGGGCAGGAGCAGGCTATTCCTCCTGCTTTGTTTCTATTTCATTCGAAAGTTATCTTGACCAATTAAACAGGTGAACTAAAGCATGTCAGATGTGAATCCCTATAATTGTAAGGTGACACACTTTGGAATAAGTATCTTTTGGAAATGTAAAATTCAGTATGACCACTAGAGGTAGCAAATACATTCATATAAAAACAGTTCTGAAAATAAATGGCAGGTCAATGACAAATGTTCTTTCATATTTTATGATTTCAAGTGTTGGTGATTTGTAAAGGATTTGCAGAATTCTGTTTTATTTCACATATTTAGCATTAGCAGTGTTATTTGTTTTCCTAAATTAAGTCATACAAATATCTCTTCCTTTCGTCTGTACAATTTGTAGTAACAACATAACCTTAAATAAAATATTTAGTTTTGCATTAAGAAAAATAGATATTTTCCCCTATTTCAACAGTCATAGTTCTGTTGGTAGGATAGGGCAACATTAAAAGAAAATTCTGCTTCATGTCCACAAAAAGAAAACTAGAATTTTTTTTTTAGTGTCATTCCAAAAGGTAATGGGGAATGTTTCACCCCAAAGCTTATTAGTTATAGTCAAAGCTTTGGAGATTCGAGGTTAACATTACGAATGGTCACAAAACTAGCTTAAGGATGGGAAACAATACAAAGAGGAATTATTTTAAATTGAAATGGGGGGTGGGGGGGGAGAAGAAGAGAACACATTGAATACATATTGCTGGAAAAAGTCAAAATTTCACTGTAAATCTATAATAGCAAAAAAGCAATTTTTGCATATCCAGACTGTTTTGATTAATCTAAGCGGAGCATCTATTGATGGGTTCAGGTGATACCTGGTACCACGAACACACATCAAGCATATCGAGGGCTAGGACACATAATGCTCATTGGATTGCCACAGTTTGATGCCAGTAGCAATGGGATAATGAGGGTGGTAATGTCAGTGGAGAACAATAAAATGCTTGCAAGTCTGTAATGCTCCCAACTCGACCTGTGGACTTGGCATGTTGGCAGACTGTAATTAAGCTTAGATTCCTTTCCATGATGTTAGTCATAATTTGTGAACACTTTTGCCTCTGTGGCCAAGTCAGACAAAGTTAGTTTCACTGTTGTATACACAAATATAAACAAACACAGTATAGTGAAATTCCACAAGCTAAAAGAAATGGATTACAGTCTTACCAATCTTGGTCCACAGGTGTAATAGCTATCTTTGGGGGTGCTCGCAATGGTAAAGTGGTAGGCCTTGGTATGCTATCTCTTTCTGGAGTCCTTGCTCTTTCCCCCTGCCTCCAAGCCAATGGCGGCAATTGAAGATTACCAGAGAACCGTCTCCTTCCCCTTCGTAAATCCACTCCGATTATGGTTCCAGAAGAAGTGTAAGATTTGCTAAGACCATACTCTGGGGAATCTTTGCCATTCTAAAGAAAAACAAAAAATATTTTTAAAAATACATAGCACACAAAAAGGATCATGTTTAATTTGTGAAAGCACTCTTTCTTGAATTTCATGTTGAACAGCTATTAATATTGATACCATGTTTTTATTGCGTTTTCTCACAATCATGTTACAGTATTATTTGAAGTGTCATTAAATCAAAAACACCATATTTCAAAAAAACGTACAAACTTCAATAGCCACAATTATACAGAAATCCTTACATTCCACCTATTAAACTAAGTGCAACAGACTTCACTGTTTCTACTATCCATCTCGGCTCCCTCCAATTTGATACACTCTATGTGATATCAAGAAACAGTACTAGGCACTGGATACTGCAAAGACTATGGGACCCAATAACATTCTGGCAACAGTACAGAAGATTTGCATTTCAGATCTAGCTGAGTGTCTAGCAAAGCTGTTCCAGCACAGTTACAACATGAGCACTGACCTTGCAATCTGGAAAATTGCCCGGGTATGTCCTATCCACAAAAGGTAGAACAAATCTAACCTGGCCAAGTACCACCGATTAGTCCGTCAATAATCAGCAAGATGGTGGAAGGTGTTGTTGAGAGTGCTATCAAGTCGTACTTATTAGACAATACTCTCTTCTACCCTCTTACATCGGACTGAAGATATCAAAGTTTGATACATGTATGAACAGATTTAAGAACAGCTTCTTCCTTGCTGTTATCAGACTTTGGAAAGGACCTCTCAAATGTAACAAAAATAGAAGTGGCTGGAAAAGCTCAGCAGCTCTGGCAGCATCTGTGAAGAAAAAAATGAGTTCTGAGGAAGGGTCACTGGACCCGAAACATTAACTCTGATTTTTTCTTCACAGATGCCGCCAGACCTACTGAGCTTTTCCAACAACTTCTGTTTTTGTTTCTTATTTACGCCATCCACAGTTCTTTCAGTTTCTCAAATGTTAATGTTGATCTCTCTCTCTGGACCTGATCTGTGGCAGTAACACTCTATTCTGCACTCTGTTCTCCTACCCTGATGCACTTTGCATGGTGCAATCTGCCTGTATAGCAGACAAAACAACACTTTTCCCTGTATCTCAGTACATGTGACAACCATAAATCAAACTCAAACCTAAAACAATAACCTGCTCACTGATATTCAGTTGGTGTTCTCTCAGGTCCACTCAGCTCCCGGCCTCACTGCACCCTTGATCCAAACTTGGACAAATGAGATAAACTCAAAAAGGAAAAGTCAGGGCAACTAACCTTGATAGCAAAGCAGCATTTTACCAAATATGGTATCAAACAACCCTAATAAATGCAAAGTAAATGGGAATTAGAAAAAAAAACACTGCTGGTTGGAATCATACATAGCACAAAAGGAAGATTATTGCAGCTGCTAGAAGTCAATTAAATCAGTCATAGGACATCACTGCATGAATTCCTCAGAGTACTTTCTTAAGCAGCTGAAAATGGTTGGGCCTGTTTTAACTAAGCTCTATAGCTCAGGTTGTCATTGGAGTTGTTGGTTGGTTCGATGAGCTGACTGGTTTTCATGCAAACATTTCGTCTCCCTTCTAGGTGACATCTTCAGTGCTGTCTAACCTCTGTCGAGGCGCCGTTGTTCTGTCCCGCTCTGAATTTATATGGTCCAGTCTGTCATGATGAGTAGTCCTGGTTCTAGTTTTGTACCCCATGGTGAGAAGTCCTGTTTCCAGTTTTGTAGGGGACCATATAAATTCAGAGTGGGACAGAACAACAGTGCTTCAATGGAGGCTAGACAGCACTGAAGATGTCAGCTCGAAGGGAGATGAAATATCTGCACAAAAACCAGTCAGCTCATCAAACCAACCAACAACTCCATTTCAGCTGCTTCATCAAAGACCTTCCCTCCATCAAAAGATCAAAGGTGGGAAAGTTCACTGATAACTGGCAATGTTCAACATCATTTATGAACCCTCAAATAACAAAGCAGTCGTGTCCAAATGAAGCAAAACCTGGACACCACATCCAGACTCGGACAATATGTGACAAATAACATTTCAGCCAAAAGTGCCTGACAATGATCAGCTCAAACAAGAGAGAATCTAATCATTGCCCCTTAAGATTCAATGGCATTATCATCACGGAATCCTCCACAAATCAAACTGAACTGAAGCAAACATATAAACACTGAGGCTGCAATAACAGTTCTCAGGTTAGGGATTAACAAACAAGTAACTCGGCACCTGACTGTATACAGCTTGTTCACTATGTACAAGGCATAAATCAACAGTTGGATTTGTGCAGCTCAAACAATAATTAAGAAGCTTGACATCATCCAGTATAAAGCAGCCACTTGATTGGCACAACATCTAATACTTTAAACATTCACTCAGTCCACCAATGATGCACAGTAGCAAAGCTATGTACCATTTAGGGGTGATCTAGTGGTATTATTACTGGACTATTAATCCAGAGATCCAGGTAGTGTTCTGGGGACCTGGGTTCGAACCTCGCCACAGCAGATGGTAGAATTTGAATTCAACAAGTACCTGGAATTAAGAGTCAAATAATGACCATGAATCCACTGTCGATTGTCAGAAAAACCCATCTGGTTCACTAATGTCCTTTAGGAAAGGAAACTGTCATCCTTACCTACATGTGACTCTAGACCCACAGCAATGTGGTTGACTCATAACTGCCCTCTGGGCAATTAGGGATGGGCAATAAATGCTGGCCTGGCCAGCGACGCCCTCATCCCATGAATGAATGATCAAAAAAATTTACAAGGCATACTGCAACAACCTAACAAAACTCTTTAGACAGCATTTACAAACTGCAAGGGCAAGAGAAGTGGATACATTGGAACATCACCACCTGCAAGTTTCCCCCAAGTCCTAATTTAACAATAGTACCGTTCCTTCATGTTCTTTTGATCAAAATTTTGGAACTCCCTTCAAATCAGCACTGTAGGTGAATCTACAACACATGGAGTGTAGCTGTCCAGAAAGGCAGCTAACGAACACATTCTCAACGACAATAAAGGAATGGTCAATAAATGCTGGCCTAGGCAGCAGTGCCCACATCTGTGAACATACATATTATACTTTCCTGTTACTTTATTTCAGCTACATTAATTAAAATAACTTTATACTGATGGCACACTATCAATTCCTTAAGTTAACTGTGCTAAATTGCCTTAATCAAAAATATAAGCTGTTATATTAAAATAATGTTAAGCTTTACTCAAACAACTATTGACTACATGGTGGAGTAGAAGTCACAGGGACTAACAAAATCATAACTTGCTTTACATGGAGTTAATCCTTTCCAACCATACAATGACTGGATCCACTATGGACGATCTTCGTATCCACACTTAATTAAACAAGTTTTTTTTAAAGAAATTAGGAAAATTTTCAGAAAACATGGAAAAGGATTAAAGTTGAGACAATATATTTCAAACAAATGGGAGAATTGAAAATTATGTTTTTAATAATGCACAGGAAAATATAAGATAACAGCTTGGCAATTACGATAGGAGCCCCATGCTGCTTGCCTTATTAATGAGTAAAGCTGAACATACAATCGCCACCTGGACCTGTGAAACTAAAAACTTAGAAAGCCACAAATTTCTGTCACAGGTATCCTGCTACTCCTCAGGGTCTATTATTGAAATATTTTTAAAAGAAGCAACACAGTTAATGATTAGGTATGTTACCTTATTTGTGTCAAAGACTGATGAAAAATTTCAGTCTTGCTTAATGAGGAAGGAGTGGATTTAAATATCACTTCATAGTTATAAATAAACAAACTCTTTGCTCTTGAAAAACTATTTTTGCAAATACTGTATTATTATTTCCTCAGAAGAAATTATTGCAGATTGTAGCCAAACATTTGAAAGTTTGAGTTTCTCAATATAAGTGCCTGCTTTAATCCCATACACTTATCCCAATTGTTACTTCGCTTTATAGATGATGATTTAACAGCCTCTCTGCTCCTATGATGCTGCTTGGCCTGCTGTGTTCATCCAGCCCTGCAAGCCTCTCTGCTCCTATGATGCTGCTTGGCCTGCTGTGTTCATCCAGCCCTGCACCTTGTTGTCTCGGATTCTCCAGCATCTGCAGTTCCTACTATCTCTAACAGTAATTTATGTTGTCTATTTTGTTGTCTTGAGAATTCTTACCTCTGACTGGTTAAACAGTCTTCCTACTGCATACCATGTTCACAGACCCAACAGATCACCTGTAGAAGCTACAGAATTCAAACCGTGATTGGAATTTGAAGTTCCACATGCTAGGGCCTGCTGAAACACTTTTCTTGATGTGAAGAGTGACTCTGTTCCACTACCACTGATCCAGTTTGATAATGCATCAGAAATGTATGTTTTGAATCAAAATCATCATTTTAGAACCACATTTCTAGAACACTTAACAGGATGGTATATGTTGCTATTCCTTATGCAGCTATGGCATAACTAATCCATAAACAGCTTGAAAATAAAGTTCCCCAGACTAGCAAATTTTAAGGTCTTGACTCAGCTAAAACCAGCAGTTTCAATCAAAACAGGTAGTACAAGTTGTCTCAAGGAAAAGAAATCAGATCTACTCCTAAAACTATCTTTAATCTTTAGATCATCATCTCTTCACCTTCAAGATGCCTGCCTCTTTGATGACATTTAGAAAGACGAAGTAAAGTTCAACTTTTCTTCTGCTTGCTTGGATTCATCCCACTAAAAGATGCTATGCCCCTATCAAACTTCTGTACTATCCATTTAGAGGAATAAAAATCATTGTCAACTTACAATGCATCCATTACTTTGGAAGCTCTTGCCAAACCAGTGATTCACATTATGTTATTTCAGACATGGCCAAAGACCTGGAAAACTAATTATCAGTGTAAATGTCCTTGCAACTATATTTTTGAATTAGTGAATCATCTTTATCTGGACTTTAATATCTTTAAAACTTTCGCCAAGACTTGCACCTCTGAGCATGTTACAATAAAATAGATTTCCATCCAACTATGGTCAT